CCTGCCCACGCCCATGCCACGCCCCCCACACCCCACCACGCCGTGCCCGCGCCGTCCACGCCCGCTTGGCTTCTCTTGTGCACTTTGTTCTCTGGTTTCACCTGCACAAGTCCCAGCTGCCCCTCGCCGGGAACCCACCCCCTACCCTGCCCCACCATGCTCCTACTCAGAGGCGGGTGGCTTACACACCTGCTGGAGCCCCCTATGCAGGGGGACAAGCTGTGCGCTCACAGGGGGGTACAAAGATGACCGGTGTCCAGGTCCCGGCGCCCCCATGCTGCATCTCTGCCTCCCTCCTCCTCCTGGGCTGGGTCCCCGGCCGCTAAGTGAGGGTGGGTGGGTGCACTGTGCGCCCCGCGCTGGTGGGACTCACCCGGCCCCACTCAGCCTCGCGCCCTGCCCCCCAGGCGTCTTCAACCCCAACTCCGAAGACCCTCTGCCCGGGCAGCTCAAGAAGCAGCTGGTGCTCCGGATCATCAGCGGGCAGCAGCTCCCCAAGCCTCGGGACTCGATGCTGGGGGACCGAGGGGAGGTAGGGGGGCCGCCTGGGCACGAACGAGGGGGAGGCTGAGTGCCAGCCGGGCCTGGTGCCACCCTGCCCTGCCCGCAGATCATTGACCCGTTCGTGGAGGTGGAGGTCATCGGGCTCCCCGTGGACTGCAGCAAGGAGCAGACCCGCGTGGTGGACGACAACGGTGAGGGTGGCCAGCGGGACCCGTGCCCACCGTGCCCAGGGCCACGTCACAGCTGCCACACTGGCCCTGCAGCCTGTGCGGGCAGGGAAGGGGGTGAGGGCCGCCTCCCGTGCCCCGGGTCACTGTCTGGGCCCTGCCCTCTACCCCCCAGTTACAGCCACCTGGCCCCCAGGCGTTGCTCCCCTCGGCCAGGCTCCCAGCTTGGGGAGACTCCAGGACGGGGTGTGGGCCTGGGGGCCTCCAGGCTGGAGCCAGGTGCAAGGTGACACGTGCTCCCGGCGGCCCCCAGGCTTCAACCCCATGTGGGAGGAGACACTGGTGTTCATGGTGCATATGCCAGAGGTGGCCCTGGTGCGCTTCCTCGTCTGGGACCACGACCCCATCGGGAGGGACTTCATTGGCCAGAGGACGCTGGCCCTCAGCAGCATGATGCCAGGTGGGCGGGGCCAGCGGGCTGGGCTCAGGTCCCCCGCAGTGACCAGCGTCCCTGCAGGCCAGCTGAGGGGTCCAGGGCAGGGCGGAGCTCGACTTCTGCCCCCGAGTCTGCCCTGGGTGGGCCTGGACACAGAGGGAGCTGGGAAGGGGGCCGAGGCCACGGGCACTTCGTGTCCAGGGCGGGGTGTCAGGCTGCGGGGCCCCCAGGAAGGGGAGGAGGTCCATGTGGGCCAGAGCATTGCTGGCAGGCTTCCCGGAGGAGGCAGAGTCCAGGCTTATGGGTTATATTCTGGACTTTGAGACCTCTGAGCAGTGTAGGGGGCGGGGTGAGCCGTGACCCCGACTGTTCCAGGCTACCGGCACGTGTACCTGGAGGGGATGGAAGAGGCCTCCATCTTTGTCCACGTAGCCCTCAGTGACATCAGTGGTAAGGTGAGTGCCACCTGCCCCGCCCCCACACTGCCCCCAGGGCTGTGACGCCTGCTGGTTTCCTCGCTGGGCCTGTTTCTCCACCCATGCGCTGAGCGGTGGGGCCACCTGGCAGATCGCACCAGGACACGGACATCCGGCCCTTCCCGGGCGCCCCTGGCCGCCCTCCTGACTCTCCCTGAGCCTACCCCCCTCTACTGCTCAGTCTCCTCCGACGGCATCTGCCTGGCGCTGCCCCACTGCAGCCCCGTGGCTGCCCCAGGAGGGGCGTCTTGCTCTACTTTCCCGGTCTGCAGGGCCCAGGGGTCCCCGGCTCTGTGTCGGGTCCAGGCAGGGCCAGCCCCTGGGAGTCTGCGAGGCACGCACGGGCTCCCGAGCGGGTCCCTGCACTGACCGCCTTGTCCTGCCACACTCGACGTGGAGCCACCGGCCGGACTCCGGCCCTGCCGGCCGCCCAGCTCTCTGTCGTCCGGCGTCCTTCTGCCTGTCTGCCGTGTGTCCGCCGGCCTCCTCGGGCTCAGCACCCCGCTGCCGGCACCTCACGCCTTCTCTGTCTCTTTGGTCTTGCAGTGGGCTTCTCCCTGTCCCACGTCCACCTTTAGAAGCACGGCCCCGTTAGGGGCTCACAGGTACCCCGGTGCCGGGCGGTGTTGCCGCCCGCCCCACCTGCATGCTCAGGCCCGCCCATCAGCATCCGTGACTCCTGGTAGCATTGTGAAGACGGTCCGCTCATGTGACATGGGTGGTGACGTGGTTCTGGGGTGCTCGGGCACAGGGCAGCATTTATGAAGCAGGTCCAGGCCTCCCGCGTGCCCTCCCCACCCTGCCCCCGTTCTGGAGCTACACGCTTTCCCCGCACCCCCGCACCCCCTTCCTTCCCCATCTGCACCCCCACGTGACCCTCTGACTCTGTGCCCTGATGACCAGTGCCGGGTGGGGAGGTCCCAGGGGCCAGTAACTCCGAGCTTGAATCCTGGACCTTCTTCTAAATGACTTTCCGGCCAACTTTGACCTGGTTACTCTGCCTTGGAGACCTTGAATCAGAAAGCCGATTCAAGTGTGGCCACTTTCGTGCCTCTGCCCAGAAGTAGCCCTGTCCCTGGGGAGCGGTGGCTGCTGCCGGGGTGTCTGCATGTGAGGGCCCTTCGGGCCTCTGCACGCTGGAGTGCAGCTGCTGGCCCCTCCGGCCTGACCCGGCACTCCCAGCTGGTCCTGGGGTCACCCGGCTGCCCTCCTCAGGCAGGGAGGCCGCTGGGAGAGGTGTCGCAGGGACGTCCTGGGCCCAGCTGTCCGGGAAGGCCCTGGGCCAGCCATGGTTCGGGGGCGTCGAGCTGGCATGGGTCCTGCCCCTGGGCAGTGGGGTGAGGCTGGGGGATACTGCCTGGCGGGAGTCCGAGAAAGCTTCTTGATGAAGGCAGCGCCCTAGGGCACAGGCCGGGCGTGGCATGGACCGCTGACCACCGTCTGTGCCCGCCGCACTGGCTTCCTCGCCCAGCCCGCAGCGCCGAGGGCGGGCGCCGACCGCTGAGGGGGTCGTGTTCGCCTGGTTCTCTGCACACCAGCACCTCCCTGTGGGCACCACCTGCCAGAGCCGGCAGCCGTGGGGTGTGGCGGGGGCAGCGTGGGGACACAGAGCCCTGGTTTCAAGGCCTCTGCTTGGGGGAACCCCGGGGGGCCCGCCAGATGCCCGCCAGTACCCGCTCGCTGCTCCGCCCCGTGCAGGGAGGGTGCAAGCCTGGTACATCTGGGCGCGTAGCAGCCACTGCCCCTGGCACCGTTGCTCTGGAGACCCTTGTCCCTACACACAGCCCTGAGCGGCCCGACCCCAACGTGCCCACTGGTGACCTCGGCTGGCGGACTGGGCTGGGTGGTCGCCGGACCCTGGTGCCGGCCACCGGCTACGTGGGCTCCTTCTCTTGCAGGTCAAGCAGGCTCTGGGCCTAAAGGGCTTATTCCCTCGCGGCTCAAAGCCCGGCTCCCTGGACAGTCATGCTGCTGGGCGGCCCCCGGCCCGGCCCTCCGTTAGCCAGCGGTTCCTGAGGCGCACGGCCAGCGCCCCGACCAAGAGCCAGAAGCCAGGCCGCCAGGCCTTCCCGGAGCTGGCCCTGGGCATGCAGGACGTGGGCTCCGAGGGGGAGGCCCGTGCCGTGGCACCCCCCAGCCCTGGCCCCGCTCCGGAGGCCTTGGCCCAGGAGGGGCCTGGAGGCCGCAGCCCCCGAGG